AAAAAAAAATTTTTTTTTCATTCTTTAAAGTAAGAGAGGGCTACTTTTTTGCCATTTGTGTCCTATTGGGGATATTCAGTTTGACTTCCTGTCTCATAGCCAAAACAGGAAGTGACAGAAAATCCATGCAAATTAGAGGTTCCCCACAGGTAACCAGAACTAGTGTCCCCATTGGAAGATATCCCCTCTATTACTGTTTTGGGGACCACCCAAAATGTGTGATTTTCTTTTACTTTCACCTTTAATGATAATGGTAAACAGTACAAATAGAGAGGGTGAATCTCCCTAACTGGGACACAGACAGCAGTAAAAACTCCATTTTGTCCAAAACTAAAAAAAAGTTTTAACTCTAGTGATACTTTAATAAAGGCTGTGAGATCATGTGGAATAAACAGTACATGTACATAGAATATACATAGAATATAAATATATAGGCACACACACATAATTTATAGAGTGCAAATGTTCACGTATACTTCATGTAAGAAAAAACTATTGGCATTTGGACCGTTTGCTGGCTTTTTTTAACCAGAATCGATGCTCATGGTGGCTTATACTTTCCAAAGTTAGCTGAAATCAAGACCTTATATGGAGGTGACAAATTTTGACGCAACCACAGAAATTAAGTAAAAGGCAAACAAAGAACAAAGTTAATCATGTCAGCTATACCACATACATTCCAGATTCTTCTAAAATACATCTACAATTAAAGCTGAACTCCAGACAAAAAGAAAAAATACACACTTAAAATAGATACATGAACTGTTTTATCAGGATTCAATTCAACCATTTGAAAAAGGATCTTTATTTGTGTCCAACCGTTCTTCTGACCCACGTAAGCGTAGCCAGATTGATTACCTAATTTTTCTCTACGAATTAACCACTTCCCGACCGGCTGTTGTATATAAACGGCCAGGCGGTGGCAGTGCAGGGTCGGGTGGCCGTTTATAAACGGCCTCCCTGCACCCTGCTTGTGCGCGCTCCGTAAGAGCGCTCAGCACCGCAATTCGGTAATGAATACAAAGCCTACTTGGATTGGCTGAGGTTGTGACATTATCAGCCAACCTCTCTGACTCAGCCAATCCAAGCAGGCTTTGTATTCATTAGTAGAATACATCGCTCGCCGTGATTGGCCCAGTGTATACTGTATGTAGCCACAGCTACCGTACATACACGCATCCAGCGGGCTGATTACAGTAGGGAGTACCGGTACGTTTTGAAACAGCTTGGCTCAGTATACTGTATATACCGCACATCCAGCGGGCTGACAGATTTATCTCTCATAGGGACATTTGTTTTGAGCCAGCTTGGCTCAGCGCGGTATACTGTATGTACATTACTGCACATCCAGCGGGCTGTATATATACTGTATACCGTATGTGGCCGAAGCTGCCGTATTACCGCACATCCAGCGGGCTGTATATATACCGTATACTGTATGTAGCCGAAGCTGCCGTATTACCGCACATCCAGCGGGCTGTATATATACTGTATACTGTATGTACATTACTGCACACCCAGCGGGCTGTATATATACCGTATACTGTATGTAGCCGAAGCTGCCGTATTACCGCACATCCAGCGGGCTGTATATACTATATACTACCGAAGCTGCCGTATACTGTATGTATACTGTATGTAACCGAAGCTGCCGTATTACCGCACATCCAGCGGGCTGTATATATACTGTATACTGTATGTAGCCGAAGCTGCCGTATTACCGCACATCCAGCGGGCTGTATATATACCGTATACTGTATGTAGCCGAAGCTACCGTATTACCGCACATCCAGCGGGTGTATATATACTGTATACTGTATGTAGCCGAAGCTACCGTATTACCGCACATCCAGCGGGCTGTATATATACTGTATACTGTATGTAGCCGAAGCTGCCGTATTACCGCACATCCAGCAGGCTGACAGTAATCTCTCATAGGGACATTTGTTTTGGGCCAGCTTGGCTCAGCGCGGTATACAGTATATACATTACTGCACATCCAGCCAGCTTGACCCAAACAAACTCAAGGTTCATATTTTATACCCCGCGTATAAGACGACCCCCAATTTTTGGGGTATATATTTAAGTATAAATAGTAGTCTTATACGCCAGAAAATACTGTGTATATATATATATATATATATATATATATATATATATATATATATATATATATATTACATTCACATCAGTCCCTAATTTCAAGGAGCATACAATCTAAGATCCCTAAGTCACATTAATACATACAGTGGCTATAAAAAGTCTACACACCCCTGTTAAAATGTCAGGTTTCTGTGATGTGAAAAAAATGAGACAGAGAGAAATAATTTCAGAACTTTTTCCACCTTTAATGTAACCTATAAACTGTACAACTCAGTTGAACAACAAACCGAAATGTTTTAGGTGGAGGGAAGTAAAAATAAAAAAACTAAAATAATATGGTTGCATAAGTGTAAGTTTATATGGAATTTTAAGTTTTACTTTCTGCTCTTTCACAGTTTCATGCAGTTTTCTGTTCAGTATCATGCAAAATACATGTATGTATAGACAGGTTTTTGAAAAATCTTATATGTCTTGTAAAGAATCCAACTCAAGTCACTTCTTCAGAAAGTGGAAGAAAATGCACTACAAGATGCAGGATACAGGACTTCTTTCAATGCACCTCAAATCAACCGACTCAATTTACTGTTTACATTTCAGAGGGAATGTTCCCCGAGCTTAGTAAATAAGATGAAGGAGGCGATGTTCATTTTAACCATTTCAATACCGGGCAATTTTACCCCTTCCTGCCCAGGCCATTTTTCAGGTTTCAGCGCTCTCACACTTTGAATGACAATTGCGCGGTCATACAACATTGTACCCAAACTAAAATGTTATCATTTTCTTCACACAACTAGAGCTTTCTTTTGGTGGTATTTAATCACCGCTGGGGTTTTTATTTTTTGCTAAATTAACAAAAAAAGACCAAAAAGTTTGAAAAAAAAAACACGTTTTTCTTTGTTTCTGTTATAAAAGTTTACAAATCAATAATTGTTCTTCATAAATTTAGGCCGAGATGTATTCTGCTACATGTCTTTGGTGAAAATAACCCAAATTAGGATGTATTATTTAGTTTGTAGGAAAGTTATAGAGTTCACAAACTATGGTATAGATCTGAATATTGATCAATCCTGAAGTGCTGACAGCCAATCTAATTTCTTGAGGTCCAAGAATGTCAGAACAGTACAGATATCCCCCAAATGTCAGGACAGGACAGATATCCCCCAAATGTCAGAACAGTACAGATATCCCCCAAATGTCAGGACAGTACAGATATCCCCCAAATGTCAGGACAGTACAGATATCCCCCAAATGTCAGGACAGTACAGATATCCCCCAAATGACAGGACAGGACAGATATCCCCCAAATGTCAGGACAGTACAGATATCCCCCAAATGTCAGAACAGTACAGATATCCCCAAATGTCAGGACGGTACAGATATCCCCCAAATGTCAGGACAGGACAGATATCCCCCAAATGTCAGAATAGTACAGATATCCCCCAAATGACCCCTTTTTGCAGAGTAGACAGTCCGACGTACTTCATAAGAGGAATGGCGAGTTTTTTGAAGTTGTATTTTTTTGTCATAATTTTTCGGAAAATTACAAAATTAAAAAAATTAGTTTCACTATTTTTTTTTTTACATACTGTCACCAGTGCAGTACAGCGTCATCATATAACTGGCATGGCGGTGAACAGGGACACTGACTGGTGACAGTATGAAAAAAAAAAAATATATATTTTTTTTTATTTTTTTTTATTATTTTTAATTTTTTATTACATTTTTTTATGATTTTTTTTTTCATATTTTACTATGACCAAAGTAGTACAAAGTTACCATAGTAACATTGCACTACTTTGGGGAAGTGATCAGTAATTTTTATTTTTTTTTTTACACAATTTGCTTATAGCAAAGAATTACTTTGCTATAAGCAAGCATTTACCTGAATGACATCGATTCATTCAGGGTTTTTTTTTTTTTTTTTTGTGCTTAGCTGTGATTTGGTCGCAGCTAATCACATGACATGTGCATGTGATTGGCTGTGACCATTCACAGCTAGGCACTAGCATACAATGGATGGCATGAATGAAGCCATCCATTGTATAGAACTGTCATGTGACCTGCTGTGATTGGTCACAGCAGGTCACATGGTACCGGCAACGGGGGCCGATACTCAGATCTGTCATTGGCCGTGTCCAAGGTACACGGCTGGTGACAGATCGCGCCGCTGCGCGGCTCTGCATTAGCGCAAACTGCGCATGTGCGGGAGCACGCCAAATGGTGTGCACCCGGAATGCCGAAGCACTTTTGAAGCCGCCAAACGGCCATTGGCCGGGGGGCTAATGGTTAATAAACAAATCATCTTATAGCAGAAATCCTCTTATTATTTTCTCTTGCACATGACTTGGTATTCAAACTGAACACAACTTCAACTTATTTCACATACATTAGAAATATTTACTTTACGAACCGAACATTCAGCTTGGTAGATGAACACGCGTCACTTCTTTAGTAAATCAACCCCCAGTGAAGTGATTGGTGTGAACTCAGCAGACTTTATCACATCTGTGCATTTGGTTGCTTTATAAATTGCAGCAAAGTGCATTACAGGGAGATTTGTACATTGTGTATGACATGAAAGAATCAGGCACTGCAAGAAATCTGTTCAAAAAGTATAAATAAAAAAATAAAGTGGGTGCAATATTCAGTCCGTGAGGTTTTAGGGCTCAAGTCTAACAGCAAATCTTATTTTGCAGAATAGACCATCCTTCCTCTTTTTCACATCTTTTTTCTCTACTCAACATCATTTGAACCCCTCCAAAAAAAAAATTGTTGATCCTACCAGAAATTAAGTCAGCTTGTGCCCTCTTCCAGTGCTGCACTCTTATCAGTCAGAAAGGGGGAGGGGGTGGGTGACTCGTATCAGTTACCCTGTTTCCAGCTATCTCTATGGAGTACAGAACAGGGGGAGCTGTTCTGTAGTCCTGTTCCAGTATGACAATGCTGCTCTTTCATAGATACAGTACAGTAATTAAATGTTGTAGACAGGGGCGAACTGACAGCTCATGGGGCCCCCGGGCAATAGGGGATCATGGGGCCCCTGTGTCCTTGCCCAAACTCAAAAAAGCCTATGAAAAAGGTACCAAGGGCATCTCATGGGGCCCCCTACTGACCCCGGGCCCTCGGGCAGTGCCCGAGTTTCCAAATGGTCAGTCCGCCCCTGGTTGTAGACCTATGACACAAAGGGGTTTATTTACTAAAGCTGGAGAGTCCAAAATCAGACTCCCTTCTGCATAGAAACCAATCAGCTTCCAGGTTTCATTGCCAAAGCTTCATTGAACAAGCTGAGGTTAGAAGCTGATTGGTTTCTATGCAGAAGGGAGTCTGATTTTGGACTCTCCAGCTTTAGTAAATAAACCCCAAAGTGTGTATCTGGAAAGATTACCAGGTGAAAATAATGGATTTTAAAGCCTAGCAAAAAAGAAAACTAATGCAACCACAACATCTAAGGACTAGTAAATTGCAATTCTATTTTTGTCTTGAGTTTAGATACACTATAATTGAACCTATTCACATTCTGCGCTAGAGCCGTGTGACTTGTGTTATCCCCTGTATGTGGAATATATTTTTGACACAACTCAACGGATTAGACAAAGACATTTTTCATGCCAATTCTTAAAGCGGACCATGAAGGGTCAGCTTTTTAAATGCCCGCCTTTGTTAAAATGCTGAGTAAAAGTTGAAAAAAAAACAGAGCTGTAGGGATAAAAAAAAAGTTTGATATTATACTTATCTTTCCACTGGCTTTCATAATGCAGAGGAGACATCATCCTCCTGTCAACAAGATCCCGGGGGAACGGTGAGCACTCTAAAGAATTCTCAAGAAAATGCCGCAGCACAGAGAGTCTTTATTATCAAGCTTTAGATTAGTCTACCTTCTCCAGATCTAGGTGTCCGTTTATGACACAGAGAATAGCTGCGATTCAGAGGATCTCAGCTATTCTCTGGTCATTCACAGTTTATGACACTCAGGAGATCAGCAGAGAACATGTTCAGCTCTTGACTGGAGATCTGTGTTCTCCCTCCAGATTCTCAGAGCCCAGAGCTGGAGAATCGGAGGGACAGCAAACTAAGCAGAGATAATTTACCTCTGCTTAGTAAACTGATCTTTTACTGTAATCTCGTGAGATTATAGTAAAATCAGCCTTTTTCCAGCATTTGTAGACCGTTTTCCAGCGTTTGTGGACCATTCTCCAGCTTTGTAGAAAAGTTCTCAGCGTTTGTAGAGAAGTTCTCCAGCGTTTGTAGACCGTTCTCCCTTGGTTCGGAGAATGATCTACATATGCTTCATAAAAGGCTTTCAGAGGAGAACTGAGCAGCAATCTTTTATCGCTGGTTCATAAACGGACACCTTTATTGGAGTGAGAATGATGTCACCGTCATTTCAGAAAAAAGAGTGTTCATTTAAAAAACAGACGTTGCATTTTAAATGCAGGGTCCACTTTAACCATTTGACGCCCGGCCTATGGCCGAATGGCGTCCATAAAAATGTATTAGCTTTCCGGGAGGCTGCCATATGGCGTCCTCCCGCACATGCGCAGTTCGCGCTTGCAGAGCCGCGCAGCGGCGCGATCTATCACCGGCTGTGTACCTCAGACACGGCCGATGACAGATCTGAGTACCGGCCCCCGTTGCAGGTACCATGTGACCTGCTGTGACCAATCACAGCAGGTCACATGACAGTTGTATACAATGGATGGCTTCATTCATGCCATCCATTGTATACTAATGTCTAGCTGTGAATGGTCACAGCGATCACATGCACATGTCATGTGATTAGCTGTGGCCAAATCACAGCTAAGCACAAAAAAAAAAAAAAAAAAACCCTGAATGAATTGATGTCATTCAGGTAAATGCTTGCTTATAGCAAAGTAATTCTTTGCTATAAGCAAATTGTGTAAAAAAAAAAAAAAAAAATACTGATCACTTCCCCAAAGTAGTACAATGTTATTATGGTAACATTGTACTACTTTGGACATAGTGAAATATGAAAAAAAAAAATCTTAAAAAAATAAAAAAAATTTAATAAAAAATTTAAAAAAAAATATATATATATATATATTTTTTTTTTTTTTTTTTCACACTGTCACCAGTCAGTGTCCTTGATCACCACCATGCCAGTTATATGATGACGCTGTACTGCACTGGTGACAATATGTAAAAAAAAAAAAAAATAGTGAAAATATTTTTTTTTATTTTTTCATTTTCCGAAAAATTATGACAAAAAAAAATACAACTTCAAAAAACTCACCATTCCTCTTATGAAGTACGTCGGGACTGTCTACTCTGCAAAAAGGGGTCATTTGGGGATATCTGTACTGTCCTGACATTTGGGGGATATCTGTACTGTCCTGACATTTGGGCGATATCTGTACTGTCCTGACATTTGGGGGATATCTGTACTGTCCTGACATTTGGGGGATATCTGTACTGTCCTGACATTTGGAGGATATCTGTACTGTCCTGACATTTGGGGGATATCTGTACTGTCCTGACATTTGGAGGGATATCTGTACTGTCCTGACATTTGGAGGATATCTGTACCGTCCTGACATTTGGGGGATATCTGTACTGTCCTGACATTTGGAGGATATCTGTACTGTCCTGACATTTGGGGGATATCTGTACTGTCCTGGGAGGATATCTGTACTGTCCTGACATTTGGGGGATATCTGTACTGTCCTGACATTTGGGGGATATCTGTACTGTCCTGACATTTGGGGGATATCTGTACTGTTCTGACATTCTTGGACCTCAAGAAATTAGATTGTCCGTCAGTACTTCAGGATTGATCAATATTCAGATCTATACCATAGTTTGTGAACTCTATAAAACTTTCCTACAAACTAAATAATACATCCTAATTTGGGTTATTTTCACCAAAGACATGTAGCAGAATACATCTCGGCCTAAATTTATGAAGAACAATTATTTATTTGCAAACTTTTATAACAGAAAGAAAGAAAAACGTGTGTTTTTTTCAAAATTTTTCGTCTTTTTCTGTTAATTTAGCAAAAAATAAAAACCCAGTGGTGATTAAATACCACCAAAAGAAAGCTCTAGTTGTGTGAAGAAAATGATAAAATTTTAGTCTGGGTACAATGTTGCATGACTGCGCAATTGTCATTCAAAGTGTGAGAACGCTGAAACCTGAAAACTGGCCTGGGCAGGAAGAGGGAAAATTGCCCGGTATTGAAATGGTTAAAAAAGGAATTAACTTTTTAACATTTCAGGAATAATTGGCAACAGCATGTGCCAGATTATTATAATATTTGCTAAATATTTTTTAAAACCCTAAAACAATTTTTCTACCATCCCCTCCTCCCACCCATTATCCTGGGGTGGGGCATTAAGCATTGCATAGATTTGTAAGAAATAGTTTTTTTTTTTAGCATTTCAAGTCTAAATGAAGAGTTTGCCATTTTTCAAAAATTACTATTTGTCTTTATGTGTGAAAATATCCAGAAGCGATGAAGCTGTGGAGTATAGGTGAAATAGTATAGGAGAAACCTGAAAACTGGCCTGGGCAGGAAGGGGGAAAATTGCCCGGTATTGAATTGGTTAAAAAGCAGACGTTTCATTTTAAATGCAGGGCCCACTTTAAGATTGGACTAGTCTAAGTTCTAAGCTCATTTTTATGATAAATTTGAGATGTAAAAATACTGGCAATAGCTTACATCATTATTTAATTCTAATTTTGATATACCGTATTTGCCGGCGTATAAGACGACCCCCCTACTTTTCCTGCTAAAATGTAGTGTTTGGGCTATACTCGCCGTATAAGACTACCCCTCTTCCAGTGCACACCAGTGGGAGGAATAGTGCCCCATCATTGGTATCAGTGGGGGGAATAGTGCCCCATCATTGGTATCAGTGGGGGGAATAGTGCCCCATCATTGGTATCAGTGGGGGGAATAGTGTCCCATCATTAGTATCAGTGGGGGGAATGGTGCCCCATCATTGGTGTCAGTGGGAGGAATAGTGCCCCATCATTGGTGTCAGTAGGAGGAATAGTGTCCCAACATTGGTGTCAGTGGGGGGTGGAATGGTGTCCCATCATTGGTGTCAGTGGGGGGAATGGTGCCCCATCATTGGTGTCAGTAGGAGGAATAGTGTCCCAACATTGGTGTCAGTGGGAGGAATGGTGTCCCATCATTGGTGTCAGTGGGGGGTGAATAGTGCCCCATCGTTGGTGTCAGTGGGGGGTGGAATAGTGCCCCATCATTGGTGTCAGTGGGGGGTGGAATACTGCCCCATCGTTGGTGTCAGTGGGGGGGGGAATAGTGCCCCATCGTTGGTGTCAGTGGGGGGGGGAAATAGTGCCCCATCGTTGGTGTCAGTGGGGGGGGGGAGGAATAGTGCCCCATCATTGGTGTCAGTGGGGGTGGAATAGTGCCCCATCATTGGTGTCAGTGGGGGGGTGGAATAGTGCCCCATCGTTGGTGTCAGTGGGGGGGGGGAATAGTGCCCCATCGTTGGTGTCAGTGGAGGGGAGGAATAGTGCCCCATCGTTGGTGTCAGTGGGAGGAATAGTGCCCCATCATAGGTATCAGCGGGAGGAATAGTGCCCCATCATTGGTATCAGTGGGAGGAATAGTGCCCCATCATTGGTGTCAGTGACACCAATGATGGGGCACTATTCCTCCCACTGACACTTGCTGACCCTGTTCTCGTATGGTGGTGCTGCTGCAGCCAGCATATGTGGTTGCAGCAGCACCTCTACACTGACCACTTACCTGCTGGTCCTGCACTCGATTTTCGCACGGCCGCTCGGCTCCACCCTCTCACCGGTGATTGGCCGCCTGTGTGCCTTTCCTGAGCTACAGTTCTGGCGGCCAATCGCTGGTGAGGAGGCGGAGCCGAGCAGCCGCGCGAACATCCAGTGGCCGAACTGAAGGCGCAGCCGCGCTTCCTGGACCGGATCGTCGTGGGACCGGAACCAGGTAAGAAATAGCCCCTGCCCACCCCTGTACTTAGTGTCCCTTCCGTTAGGGGAAGGGGGGGCGGCGGCGGCACCGCGCCGCCCCCCTAAAAAGTGTGTCATGTCATGTTATACCGGCGTATAAGACAACCCCCGACTTTTGAGAAGATTTTTAAGGGGTAAAAAGTCGTCTTATACGCCGGCAAATACGGTAATTCATTTCTATTATTATAACATCATTTGAAATCGGATAATTTATGCTCCGGTA